AATTACATTAACATTTTTTTAATAGTTCGATAAATACTAAATAAGTTTTATTACATAAACTTTAAAATAAATTTTGTTAATTGGTTGATTAGTAATTAAACTTCAATCGCTACTTTTAGTTTAAATAAAAATGAACATTTACACTAAAATTTCAAAGGAAAAAAGTATCACTGAACCTTTTAGTAATAACTGAAATATTAAAGGTGAACAAGTGATGAATAGTATATTCTGATTTTGAATTATTTTAACCAAATATGCTCTTGGATTTCATTGGATTCAAAACCTAAAGAAGCATTTTTAGAATATTACAATATGTTTTATATTCTCATACTGGTGAAATTATAGCACAAATTTTAACAGAAATTTTTGAAAAATAGAAAATAGAAAAAAAATAATTGCATTTATAACAGATAATAATTTAAATATAAAAAAAGCTGCTTAATTAATGAATACTATAAATCGTTTGCCATATAATGCTCATACTTTATAATTAGCAATTGGCAAAGAATCAGATATTATCAAAATACTTATTTTACATGCAAAACATTTAATTGATTTTTTAATATATCATCTAAGTAAATAGAAAGACTTAATGTAGCTCAATAAAAAATTAGATATTTAAACTTGATCAGTAATTGGAGATATGACAATAAGATAGAATTTATCGTTTTATGCTTTAAACAATTATTAAAATTAAAATGCACAATAATTTTTCTTCCAAGTCATTTAAAATCTAATTTTAATGCTGATATTAAAGAAGTTAATGAAAAGTCAGCTCTCTAATAATGAATGAAAATTATTAAGTAAACTTGTTGATATATTAGATGGTTTTAAAGAAGTAACAGCATTACTTAATGGGAATAAATATATCACAATTTCTCTAATGTATCTTGCTATTTCTCAAATTATTTTAGATATTAAACCATGAATTGAACTATCTCTTTGTTTAATTGAAACTGAAGACGAATTTGATGATATCAATCAAATTACTATACTTGAAAATATGGAGGAAGTAATAGAAGATAATAAAGGTTTAATAGAAATTTATTTGTGAAATTAATAAAAAAAATAGATCTCTCTAAACCCTTGAATTTATCATCCAATAATTTTATTCAACTATAAAGCAAACTATGTATGAAAATATTGGTATAATAGCTTGTGTATTAGATTCCCAGTGGCCCTTACTAAGATAACCATAGTAAAAAGCGCCTCCGCAGCTTCGAAAATGCCTTTTTTACTAAGAAAACCATAGTAAAAAGAGCAACGATTATGAAGAACTTCGCGGTATTTACAATGAAGAAAAAGAAAATCAAATGGTAATTTTAACTTAATTTAACAAATTATTAACAAATTTATTTTTAATACTTATTTTAATTATTTTAATAGGCAATGAATCTGAATCCTTTTTTGTGTTACCATCAGAATTCTGCCTCAGATACAGAAACGATTGATGATGATGACAATGATTATGAGCAAAGAAAAAAATTGATCTTAAATGACATTTATAATAATCCAGATTAACCAGATAAAAACGAAAATGAATTGGATACTTATCTTTCTTTAGATGAAGAAGGAAGAAATACTGATCTATTTGGTGGAAACAAAAGAAAACGCGTTTTCCGGTATTAGCAATAATTGCTCGTAAGTATTTAGGAATTTGTCCAACATCCGCCGTTCCTTCTGAAAGGTTATTTTCAGATGTAGGAAACAATATTACAGCAAAGAGATCAAATCTTAAACCTAATTTAGTAGGCGAAATGATATTTTTAAAAAGAAAGATATATCTTATTGACTCCATTTTTCCACCTGTATAAAATAATCTAGATTATGTTCTTTTGAAACATAATTTTACAATTGTTCTTTTAGTAATATTATTTTTTGTTATAGTTTTAATAAAGGATTAATTACCGGGATAACAAAAATAATAATATCGTAATATATAACGATAATTTATCGTGACTTTATTTATTTATTAAATAAAATTTAATTTACTAAACCAGGTGGCTGTGTAATTTAATAAATTATCCATCCGAAATGTAATTTACCCGGAATCACATGATGCATAGTGTTGAAATAAAAAAAAATATATTTTAAAAAGATCAACATATTTCCCCCTTACTTTCTAACCCTGCCATTATCAAAATCTTTTCCAGTGATTTATCAGAACTGAAACATATTGTTATAAAATGTTTACGAAATGATTTAAAATCTCTTTATTCATGTATTTTGGTTAATCGATTTTTATGTCGGGTGGCTGACTATTCCAATACTATGGGAGAATCCATTTGCTTTGAAATGCCTAAATGGAAAACATTTCGACTTCCTTGATGTTTACTTTAAATTTTTTAGTAGTATATATAGAGAAACGTTTATATAATTTGGGACTGAAATCAAAACTATTGAAAACCCTTTATTCAATTATCCATCTCTTATTAAAACTGGTATTCATTTATTTGATTATAAAAGGCATATGAAATTTTTACTTAGCTTTGGTTCAAATTCTCTTTCCCGGGTAACCGTTTAATATAACCATGTCAAAATATCAATAAAATTCAGTTATTTAGGAACCAGAAAAAGGAATTTCGTCGCGTCGTACACATGATTATTATAGCCCTATTTGAAAGGTAAAAAAAAATAACATGGAATTATGTAAATAAACTAAAACTTATAACTTAAATCATTTTTGGTGTTGTTAATCAATAATTTTTTTTTTTAAGAAAGACAGCCTTTTTTAAAATGCATCTAACGCGATAGTATTTACAATAAACAAACATCTAAAAAAATTTTAATTAATAATTATTCCATTTAGATTTCACTAAAGAAAAATTTCTAATTTTAGCTACTAAGTAAATTATTTTGAAGAACAAATATAAAATAAGTAAATATTAAAACTTAAAAAAGTAATTTTAACACTCGTATCTTTATCGAGCTTCTTGGAAGATCGTGATCTCTCCTAAATCGTTATCCTGAAAAATTTGACATTGTTCTCCTGCCCATTTCTTATAATAATTCCGAGAGTTCAATTAAAGTTGTTTTCAATATGCGAGAATGTGTAAATTTCAAAAATTTAGCAAATTCATAGGTTTTTTTTTGATATATGACATTATTTAAACAACGAATCCCAAAATAAAACAAAAGTAACAGATGACATGCTCATTTCAAAAATTACAAAGCTACTTCATAAAAATCAAAATCTTTATTATCAAAAAGAAAAATAAATCTTTTTTATCACAATTGGTACCAAATGTTTTACATAATCTAATTTTTTTAAAAGGACTTTATTATTTTTCTAATAATATATTTCATATATTATTTACAAGGAAAACAATGATTAACTCGGATGAACTCTAGAATTCATAACATAAAGTTTTAATTTAGATATTTAATTGCGAGAACAGAAATTTTCATAATTATCTTTAAAATAAAAATCAAAATTGTCAGTGAAGGTTGAATTTTACTAATGTCTTCTTGGTAGCCATAAGTGTGATAAATTCTTTCTATTAATCGATAATGAATTTATTTTTATTGGATCCAAATAATTAAAATAGCAATAAGTGTGCGATAATGGGATTGATGAACATCAAGTTAAATAAATATATATTTCGCTCTTGCTCCATCATCCAAATAGAAATGACATATCAACTGATTTGGTGATATAACTTTAATCGTTTCACTAGGGAGATAGATGGTGCGGTCATCAAGCCAACCAGCAACCATCCAGAAATAGCGTAACAGGAACCCAGTTACATTATAAAGTTTGAAAAGGGATATGAAATCCTGACAATTTGATCATATTTTTCTAAATTTAGCTATCGTAATTTCTTCTTATTCAAAAACATTAAATTCAAAACTTAAAATATATATGATATGAAATATGAAGAGTTTTGCCAAATGACACATCTGATTAACTTTTAATTGTATTATTTAAACGTTAAGTATATTGAGTAAGTAAAGTAAAATTTATTTATTAGCGATACGATAAGAACATGAAAAAAGATAGCGATAGTAAATAAAATTTCTGTTTATTGCAATTTCCGCGATCTATCTTCTGTATTTCCTGTAATGAAATACATGTATAAAGGATAATTCTAGGATATAATTACAATAGAAAACAATAGTTGTGTATATCAGGGTTGGCAAAAGACCTTGAAATGACCTTGAAATGACCTCAAATGACCTCAAATGACCTTATTGTTATTATAAATTTCAAGTCAAAAGACCTTATAATTTGCCATCACTGCTCTAGAATCTGACCATTGGTCAGGATGTCACGCTGGGGTGTGCTGTCAATAAGATTTACTATTGAAGATATTTTCGTTTATAATTTTAAATTTTGCGAAAATACTAAAAATTTTTGTTTCATGAAATAGGTCATTAATACTTCAAAATTAATAAATTTAACCTTCTAAATAAAATAAATTTTTTTTTCCTGAGTTTTAAAAAAAATGATGTATTTTATATTTCAATAAAGTTATCATGTATCCATTCAACTTTAAAGCGTTATTTAAATGCTAATAGAGCACAAGTTATTAAATTTTAAAGATTTTGGATAATTTAGTGGGAAAATAACTCGCATTTCAAAACAAGCCCGCCACTTAAAAAAGCACGAGAAATACAAGCTGACAAAAAAAGAAAATCAAAGATTATACTGTAAAAGAAATGGAGAGAAAAATCTTAACAGTCGACAATTTCCGAAGAAATTCCAGTAGCAAATCACCTTATTACAACTATGCGTTACCAAATGAAGAAAAATTTATCTTCAAAATAAAGCATATGATTATATATCGCAAAGTCTATCTAAACACCAGCCTTCAAAAATTAAGCAATTATGTGACAAAATAATCATCTTATTCATAGTACACAATCACTTGATGCTTATTCATGTTATCTTCGTAACTAAAAATCAAAGCATATATCTAAAATTCGGTCTTTAATTCAACAATCACAAAGTATTTCTGATGCTACTTTTAAAAGGAAGGTCAAATCTATCTTTAAAATAAATGAACGCGAGTATACTTCAAATATTGTCTGATTTGCTACTAGAAATAGTTCAATTATCTACAGTTGAATATCTTAAATTAATTTATGAATATTTGATTGGAGAGGTATATTGGCTCTCAAATATCCAAAATTGCAACTGCTCTAGCATCTATTATGTTTGATGAATCAACTCTTGGAGAAATAAAAAATTTCAATGTTTGCTATCAATTTTGGAATCAAAAAGACAATATACAATAGCAACTATGTCTCAAAGACAGTTTCTACTACTGTAATTAATATTATTGATAAGGATAGTTTAATTAAGAAATATTCTTTATAGATTACAGACAATACAGCATACCTTTCAGGTGATAAAAAAGGTGCTATTGTTCTTTTCATTAAAAAACTGAATTAAATGTATTACGAATTGGTTATACCTTACATATTATACAAAATATACTAAATCATTTTGAACAAGAAGCTTTCAGAAAACTTTCAAACACTACAGGATCAAAAGTACTACATCCCTATAATTTACTTTATTTGGCATAGAGGTTTCATGATGGTTATAATTTTAGTAATAAAGACAAAACCATTAAATATTAATGCTAATACTATTCGTAATATGATGTGTTTATTTAGATTTCACGATAATGAATTGCGAACTGCAAGTCACATTCAATTTGCTCATTAGTTTATTAAGAAAATGGAAAGTCATAATACTCCAAAGTCATACTTAAATGATTGGTGTCTTTTGAATCTTGGATTAATGAAGCTAAATTAAACATTGAAATTAAATGTTAGATAAATTTTACCAAACACCTTTATGAATATTTAATGCAGTTTTTAGTTAGATAAGATTTAATTTTTTTACGAATTATTCAAGATAATCAATTGATTTTACTGCTATCAGGTTATAAAGTATATAATATGAGATGCCAGATAAAGTTCAAAAATAAATTAAATTTTTTTGAAAATATTAAAGATAACTTTGAAATATTTTTTTTTCAAATGAATTATTAAATGATGCTATAGACTCATTATCAAATAATGAATTTGAAAACTTAGAAAAAGGTGTAACTAAAGTTTTAAATATTTTATTAAATGGATTTCTCAATAAATTTATTTATCATTAATTGTTTGCTTTTTAGATGAAAATAATATACAGGTATTCACTAATAGATATTATCATATAATTTTTGAAAAATCTTAGATCAGAAACCTACTAATTTGAAATTAAATTATGCATATATTTTGTAAAAAGATTTGAATAATAAAAATACAAATGATTTTGAATTGCATACATTAATTGTCATAAGTATCTGACTGACTCTAACTCTAATTATAAGTAAGCAAATTCAAAAAATTTCTTATTTAATAAATACATAATCAACTAACTAAAATTAATAAATTGTGTAGTTACCATCTGATTCTATAAGTGCAGCTATATGCTTTTTCATACTAATTACCAAATTTATGATAAATACAGATGACAAACAGTTCTATTTCTTTGTAATTTTCTATTTAACCCTCTAATTAATCGAATTTTTTTTGTATATTAATTTTATTAATCTCTAAACATTTTCTATAGGTTTTGGTTTGAAGACATTAATAGTCAAGAAAGTATCTCAATGGCATTTTCTTTCTTCTATTTTTTCATGATTTTTGATTGATGTTTTGGATTATTATCTTCTTGCAATCTAATCTATATTACCTTTACCAAAAAGTTTAGAGGTAGAAGATAGAAAACCTTTCTTATAAATATTATACATAAATATAGCATTAAGGTTCATCTGAAAGTAAAATAACTTATCAAATCCAGAAGCAATACATAATAATTCTTTATATAAAAAAATAAATTACTCTAATATATTATTTTTAAAAATAAATTTTATTCTCTCATTTTAAAATAAAGCTGATTTTAATCATCCTTTAAGACATATGCATTTATAAATGTTTCACTTTTTAAACTGCATCTTTTTTGTACTACTAAATCTGTTTCATCTAAAAAAATTCTTTCTATAGATACACTTGCAGCTAAAAAATAATAATTACAATAAATTTTTAATAGTAAATGTAATTTATAAAATAATTATAATCATAATATTTATATTAAACTAAAATAGTTAAGTAATCTTTAGCTATTTTAGAAAGATTTGGATATTCTCTTTCATGAAGCTTTATAATAATTTAATAAGTTAAAAAAGAAATAAATTATTATAATAAATATTTTTTATAATACTTACTTTTCACCATAATAAAATATCAGTTTTATTAGATACTACTGGATCTCTAAGATAAGATTTAAGCTTATCTCTATGATTTATTTTCTTTTTTTAAAAACATGAGTAAGGATATTATCTTCTAAATTATCAGAAGAATGACTAATATCTGCAATATTTTTATATTTTTTTTTCCCAAACATCAGTAATAATTTTATTTGCTTTATTAATATAAAAAGATTCCCAATTATTATTTTCATAATATTGTAATTTTAACCTTGAATCTATTACTATTAATTATAAATAAAAATTATATTATTATATAAAATGAAAAATATATAATTTTAACTAACCTGTAGCAATAACATAAATATGTTCATTTGTTAATAGATAATATTCAAAATTTTATCTCTTGCTAATTTTGCTGAATTTTTAATTTCAGTTCTATTATTATCATTATTAATTGTATCTTCAAGTTTATCTATTAAATAATTATAAACTGGAATACTATATGATATAATTAACCAGTAATAAAATTTGATCCTTTTTTAAAATATTAAATATAATTAATTATTAATAAATATATAATATACTTTTAAATAAAAATTTTAAATAAATTATAAATATTATAAATCTGTAAAAATTCATATATTTCTTTAATACAGTTTCATTCATAATTTAAAAGAATATATATATTAAGTTTTTCATCATATAATGCTATATTATGAAAAGCATTTTTTAATAAAAGAGCTCTTTCTAATATTATATCTTGTTGCAGAATTATTTTAACAAGAAAATGTGGTAAAGTAAATAATCAACATGTTTCACTAAATTGATCTACTAAAGAAATTGCACAAACAATTATACAAAATTGATCTACTGGATGATCTACAAATTGATCTATATGTATTATGTGATATTCTTGACATTATTGATATTATACATGAAGTCGAAATGAAAACCCAAAAAGTCGAAATGTTTCAACTTTAGAGGTCAAAGTCGAAATGAAAAGTCGAAATGGTTGAAATTACGTTATATCACATGATTTTTTATATATAGAAAAAACAAAAAAAATAAAAGATGTACTATCTCAATTAATATCGCTCCGATTTGTATGAAACAACTACCATTCGATTCCTCGTGACTAGACGAATCCAACGAGCTAATATTCATTGATTTTGGATTAGCCCATCTCGAGATATTTGTGATCATATTTTGAAATCTGGACTCCTTTATTTAAAGTAGAATTTATTGATTCATAATTTCAGCCGATAATACAATTGCGATTATCTCGAAATTAGATGATCTGAAATCAATGAATATTAGCTTGTTGGATTTGTTTAGTTACAGGAATCAAATGGTAGTTGTTTAATACGAATTGATGTGATATTGATCGAGATTATATGTTTTTTTTTATATATAAAAATCATGTGATATGACGTAATTTCAACCATTTCGACTTTTAATTTTGATTTTGACCTTCAAAGTCGAAACATTTCAACTTTTGGATTTCATTTCGACTTCATATATAGTTCTGATAGAATGATAATGCATCATTTTAAAGGTACGATAAATAAAATTATTAATAAAATGATAAATAAAATCATTCTGATAAAATGATAATAAATCATTCTAAAGAAATAATAGAAAAATCGTTCTGATAGAACAATAGAAATATCATTCCAATAGAATAATAAATGAATGATTATTCTTTTTGAAATGATAATTGAATCATTTCTTAAATAATGATAATAAATCATTCTTTTTGGAACGATAATTGATTTATTCCTTAAAGAATAATAATCAAATTATTCCTAAAAGAATGATAATAAATCGTTCTTTTTGGAATGATAATTGAATCATTCCTTAAAAAACAATAATAAATCATTCTTTTTAGAATGATAATCGAATCGTTCTTTTTGGAATGATAATTAAATCGTTCTTTTTAAAATGATAATTGAAACATCCCTTAAAGAATAATAATAAATCATTCTTTTTGGAATGATAATTGAATCATTTCTTAAGAATGATAATAAATCATTGTTTTAGAATAATAATCAAATCGTTCTTTTAAAATAATACTTTTCATCATTCTATCAGAATGAAACTTCTATTATTCTTTTAGAACTATGTATATCATTCTATCTGAACGATTTTTTTTATACTTTTTTTAAAAAAAATTTGTTAAATTTTTCAGCTTAACTTTGGGCTCAAGTTTTGCTTGACTTTGAGCTCGAGTTTGTGCTCGAGTTTTGCTTAACTTTAGGCTTGAGTTTAGCTCGAGTTATCTCAAGTCAAGTCAAGTTTAAATTGAAACTCAACTCAAGTTAAACAAGTCAAATTTTTTATGACTTGATTCAACTTAACTTGACTCAACTTATTTGACTTGAAAATTAGCTCAGCTCATTTGGAACTCTATCTGCAACTACTCAAAACGTAATTAATACTACAGATATAAAGCATAATCAACTTGCTAATTAATATATATTTGAAGGAATAAAATTTGTAATACAGCATTTTTTAATAATATATGAAATTGGAGAAAAGTATTATCTTAATATTCGAACTTATTTTATACAATAAGAAATTAGTCCAAAAATATATAAAGCAACTGGAAAAATTAGTAATTTTGTTTTATCATTTGAAAAAATTTTAGAAATAATTTCTTTTATTACAAATTATACAAATATTCATAGTTTACCTTCACCTGCCTGGTATTTATTTTTTTATTTTTTTATTTTTTTTTTAAAAATTTTATAAGCTAAATAATTATTTAATAAAAGAATGACATTTTTGTAAAGATATTTTACCATTAATTTTTCTTCTTACAAGTGAAAATTATTATTCATTATATCGATTATATGTATCAGTTATGGAAAATCAAAATCAACCAACTGTACCTTAGCTACTTTTTGGCATATTTGGCATAAAAATATTCCAGAAATTAAATTTCTTTTTTCTTGAAGTGATTTATATTTTAAATATAAAGAAATATGATTTAATTCAAAATATTGGTTAGAATAAGAAAGCGAATTACATGTAGCTGAATGGAATTATCATTATCAATAAGTAGAAAAAGAAAGAGAATATTATAGGTATTTATAATATTTTTAAAAAATCTATTTAAATAATTTTTAACTTTATTAATTAATAATTAATAATTATATATAATCTTTAAAATTATCAAATTATCTTTATGATAATTTTTTGATTTTTCTAATTTTTTGTATTCTAATGAACCAAATTCTCTTAAATTTGAAAATCATATATTATGGGATTATGCTGAATAAGTAAAGCTTTCATTTTCATCGTAACAAGAAGTATGTTTAA